GGTCAAATGATGTTCTTTCCACTGCCATATTATGGCCCCAACAGTGCTCACTGGAACATTCAGAAGTTTAGAAATCCTTCTGAAACCAATGCCATCAGTATGTTTTGCAACAGTAAAGTTTTGAAGGTTTTGAGAGAGCTCTTTGCTTTTGCCCACCATGAGATGTTTCTTGTGTGACGTCTTGGTAATGAGACACCTTTTTGTTGGCCATCAGTTGAGACTGAACTAGCTGATATTAAATATGCACTGACAAGGGCAGGATTGCTTTCTAATTACTAATAGATTTCAGCTGGTATCTTGGCTTTCTGTGCTTTTTTTTGCACCTCCCTTTCTTCATGTGTTTGATACTTTTTCCCTGCGTCATTCCATTTTTATTACACATAATTTAATTCCTGAACTTATTTGTCTTGGTTACTTTGTATGTATGGACTGCATGGGTTGTTACCAACATGTGAAAATTTCATGTCAATAGCACCTTTTAGAAATATATTTTCACTTCCATTGTAAAGCGCTGCGCAAACTGTTGTTGCTATATAAATCCTCTATAATAATAATAACCTAGAAAAATGGTGATGTGTTCAATACTTATTTTACCCGCTGTATATATAAAAAAAAAAAACGGCAGCTGTCCTACGGTTTGCTAAGTGTACTCTGTCATTATAAGGTATAATTTTTTTTCAAACTTAGTTTATTGAAAAAAAAAAAAAAATGCACATACAAATTATACTTGTCAAGCCAATACAATGGCAAAATGCTATGCAGCAAATAGTGTATACAAAGGGAATTGTCACAGCTCTTGAGTATCAAAGCCTGGAAATTCAACACATACCGCAGCAACAAATAGGTACATCCATGTATAAGAACAATCAGAAAAATCAAACTAGAAGAAAAAAAACTTACATTAAACAAGTAACAAAAAGAAACAAAAGATGAAAAAAAAAAACCCCGGGTTAGCAATCAAACATAAGAATACTGCACACATGTATGTTATTAGACTGAGTGGTTCCACCCAGGCGCCCAGCACCATAAAAAGTTACGAATGGAAAAAGAAGGACACAATGTTAGTAGTTGTCCCAAAAATCATAATAACACTTTGACCTCCCGGTAGTAGCAAGAACAGCAGGGGGGGGGGGGGGTTGACTTAAAACAGAGGGCAACTAAGGTATGGGGTCAGAGACCAAACGTAGAGAGTCACTTGTGTGTCCAGCCAGGGTCCCCAGAGTCTACTAAACGTCCCTGGACACCCTCTTGCCTCATAAAAAAACTTATAAAGTGGGAGGTTCTGATTAACCCCCCTGGCGGTATTTCCGTGTGTAGCTCGGGGTTAACTTTCAGTACCAGAAGCGGTAACCTCGAGCTACACCATAGTGACACTTACTACTTGTGGGGGGTGATGAAGATTGTTTTTTTTTTTTTTACACCAATTGCTTTTCCACCCATAAAGGCTGTAAAAGCAATCATTTCTCCTTCTCTCTGGCTGCATTCTTGCAGCCATTGAGAAATACTGTGTGAGCTGTGATTGGTCACATGGTACAAGGCTGTTGTGAATAGCCTTGTACCATGTGATCTCTGTGATCATTCACAGATTTCACACGTAGTAAGCAATGATGTCAGAAGTGACATGTTGCTTCTTACTATTCATTTGCTTACTGATTGGCCAGTCAGTGATCACGTGATTGGGACCTCACACAGAGGTCCTGTACACCAATCGGTGTTCTCCGGACAGCGGGCACCGGATTGCGGTGTGGCGCGCTCCCAGGGAGTGCACACAGGCTACAATGGCGGGCGAAGTGACATCTTGCTTCTTACTATTCATTGGCCAGTCAGTGATCACATGATCGGGACCTCACACAGAGGTCCTGTACAGCAATCGGTGTTCTCCGGATAGCGGGCACCGGATAACGGTGCGGCGCGCTCCCAGGGAGCGCACACAGCCTAAAATGGCGGGCGCCATTTATGAGTGGCAACCCGCCCCTACGCTGCTCCTGTCCGGCCGTTTATATACATGAGCTGGATGGGAAGTGGTTAACATGTAGACATACTATACCAGCAATGGGCAAACTGCGGGCCGTATACGGCCCGGCGGACCTTTTAATCCGGCCCGCGGAGCGTGGCAAACATTGGCTGTCAGGATGTAGGCGGGGCAGCGTGACGAACTCCTCTCCTCACACAGTCCGCCCTGAAGACCGGAACGGCGCGGGAACACGGCGAGAGGAACGCGCGGAGCAAAGGTAAGTGAATTGACACAATATGGGGGATGAATTACTATGGGGGATGAATTACTATGGGGGATGAATTACTATGGGGGATGAATTACTATGGGGGATGAATTACTATGGGGGATGAATTACTATATGGGGGATTATTACTATGGGGGGATGAATTACTATGGGGGATGAATTACTATGTGGGGGATGAATTACTATGTGGGGGATGAATTACTAGGGGGGATGAATTATATAGGGGGGATGAATTACTATATGGGGGATGAATTACTATGGGGGATGAATTACTATATGGGAGATGAATTACTATGGGGGATGAATTACTATATGGGGGATGAATTACTATATGGGGGATGAATTACTATATGGGGGATTAATTACTATGCTTACTATGGGGGAATATTACTATACTTACTATGGATGGCATGGTAGTGGCTGGGCCGGCCAGCAGCTAGTCCGGCCCCCGGGTCCAATATATGAACCCATTGCGGCCCTCAAGTCAAAAAGTTTGCCCACCCCTGTACTATACCATACAACACATCATCCAATGTCATAGTACAGCATCACTATCAAAGTATTAATTGCATGATAAGGATACACAGTATGACTGTTTGATTAGCCATTAAAAATGATGTAACATCACCATCCATACATATGATTACAGAGAGAGTTTCTATATGATCCAACACGTTTCGGAGTGACTTCACTCCTCCTTCAGGGAAAAAAGAAGAAATCTGCATATGGGTGACATCATCTGCATATGGGTGACATCATCTACAAGATTGAACATACATTTGTTTGGAACATTTCTTGTATCCATTACAATATTTTACAATATGTAGATATACTCACAATACATGAAAGTGCAGAAAAAATAGTTGAGTTTTCAACCCATTTAAAAGACACGGTACTTCAAAATGCTGCCGCCTCATATGGTTGGAAGGCTGGCTGAACCCGGACGTAATGGAAACCACCCAGGCATGGATCACAAGGATACACCACAGGTCACTGCAGTAAGTGGTTAGGGATAACGGGCAGTAGGACTCACAATATTGGGGATTTTTATTAGGTTTGGGGATTAAAACAACAAGAGCTTCTCACACATAGACTCTGGGAGAATTCGCTCCTCTAAAATGTACTTCTAAAGAGAAAGCAAGCGAGGAATTATAAGGTATATTTAATCAGATATCCTGGAACTGCAGCCAACCAGGAAGTCTTGGTACTGCCATGGGATAGTCCCAGTCTTTCCTTGATTGGCTGAAGTTCCTGAACGTATGAATGGGTCCTTATTACAACAACAGAATGCACTTACTAATCTGAAGTATAATCGCAAGGGGTTCAGTGAGCGCTAACAAATGCAGCAGCTGATACACTAAAAAGGGAAACCATAAAACCTTAAAAATGATATAAGCATAAATAGTGCAGCGCTAGAAATGATGTATATAGGTGCACCAGTAACAATATATATAAAATAATGCAAAATTGCTTACATAATACCAAATAATATAAACCGCATGGTGTGTGAATATAGTTTTCAACAAAGATGCAGTGGTACCGTTTGTATCGCACACCTTCACTATTTATATAATGCACAGTATAAATGATAGTCCAATAAATATCTGGTGGTGAAGGAACCACGGATGATTAGATCCCAGTGACCGTTATAATCCAGTGCCATGCAGGAATAATGAGTAAATTGCACACTCACCAGAGGCGCAATTTAAATGCGCATTTGTGTCATATACACCAGAGGTCCCTTCAGTTGTAGATGGAATGAAACCTGGAATGGATGACTCCACGATGGGAGGTACCGCATCTGGGGGTCCCCTTAATAGACCTGGCTATAGGCGGAATCTGCTGAATACAACTCTCCTCTGGGCCCTGGGATGATCACCTTGTGGTCCTGGGGAGTTAAATGCTCGATGTGGAGCAGAAAAAAGTACCCATAGTGTAGTATTTAGGTGAAAACAAGAATGAATTTATTGAGGATTAAAACAAAAGAACACATTTTTCTTAAGTATTGTAGTAAAGCCAATCCTTGTGCACAAAGGATGTAATAAAATGGAATGGAATATACACTGACCAGCTGGTATAAATGGGTGGTCGCCGGACCTCCTTGATCCGGCGGCTTGACGTCACGGCTAGCAGGGGCTCCTCCTTGACGTGCGTTGATCCAGGGAATATCCATTTGCCTCTCGGATCAGGAAGGAATTTTTTTTCCCTGCAGGAGCAAATTGGATCACACGTACATCATCAGAAGGAATAAGAGCCATCTTTCAGTTTTAAACTGAATTATAGTTCCTCTAATTCATTTTGGTTGTCATTTACCTGAATGTATGCTGGATGAAGCACGGCTGCAGACTCAGTGTCAGATGTCATTTCCACACCTTCTGCATGGCCATACCACTGCTTTATAAATCGACCCCTTAGATCAGGGGTAGGGAACCTGCGGCTCTCTAGCTGTTGTGGAACTACATTTCCCATGAGGCATTGCAAAGATTACAAAACTGACAGTTACAGCTATGACTTTGAGGCATGATGGGACTTGTAGTCCAGCGGCTCTCAGGTTGCTTACCCCTGCCTTAGATAAATAAGGTACTTGATGATCATCCTTAACAGTCACTGCATTACACAGATTAGTAGATTTCACTGTCTGAGATGGATAGCAGAAGCCGTTGTGAAATGGCTTTTTTTTTTTTTCTTTTTTATCTCCAGGAGAATGTCCCTTCCCAGCAGCCAGTGGCAGAAGAGTTTGTAAGGGGTCCCTGGGCTACCATGAAAGCTGAGCTGTCATTGGATGAGAATGACCCAGCCTGCTTCCTGAGAACATACAGCGTGGTCATGGTTCTCCGTAAGGTAAAAACTGCGCCATTGGCTTGTAATGTTGGTTTAGTGCAGTGCTTCTCAAATAGTGGGGCACGCCCCCCAGGGGGGGCGCGAGGCTCCGTCAAGGGGGGCGCGTACAGGGGTGGGCAGAGGGCTGCTGTCTCTTACCTGGCTCCCACGATGATCCATCCAGGAAGCGCTGCTCCTTCCGTCACTCCGGCCACTCCCTCACTCCTGCCGCTCGGCTCCGCCTCCTCACCGGTGATTGGCCGCCAGAACTGTAGCTCAGGAAAGGTACACAGGCGGCCAATCACAGGCGAGGATGCGGAGCCGAGCGGACCCCGCGAAAATCGAGTGAGGGAAAAGCCGGTAAGTGTGCAGTGCAGAGGTGCTGCTGCAACCACATATGCTGGCTGCAGCAGCACCATACTGCAACACGGGTCAGCAAGTGTCATTGGTGTCAGTGGGAGGAATAGTGCCACAGCATTGGTGTCACTGATACTAATGAGGGGGCATTATTCCTCCCACTGACACCAACGATGGGGCACTATTCCTCCCACTGACACCAATGATGGGGCACTATTCCTCCCACTGATACTAATGATGGGGCACTATTCCTCCCACTGACACCAATGATGGGGCACTATTCCTCCCACTGATACTAATGATGGGGCACTATTCCTCCCACTGACACCAATGATGGGGCACTATTCCTCCCACTGATACCAATGATGGGGCACTATTCCTCCCACTGACACCAATGATGGGGGCACTATTCCTCCCACTGATACCAATGATGGGGCACTATTCCTCCCACTGACACCAATGATGGAGCGCTATTCCTCCCACTGATACCAATGATGGGGCACTATTCCTCCCACTGATACCAATGATGGGGCACTATTCCTCCCACTGACACCAATGATGGAGCGCTATTCCTCCCACTGATACCAATGATGGGGCACTATTCCTCCCACTGATACCAATGATGGGGCACTATTCCTCCCACTGATACCAATGATGGGGCACTATTCCTCCCACTGATACCAATGATGGGGCACTATTCCTACTTATAACAATTTTTTATAGACAAATGATACTATTTACAGTCGCGCGGGGGGCGCGAAATGTTTTCTTCTTCCTAGGGGGGGCATGACAGAAAATAATTGAGAAGCACTGGTTTAGTGTCACCCGTGTGTCACTGTGCTTTCTCTCTTGGTAAATGTTGGCAGGCGGCTCTCAAGCAGCTTCCAAAGAATAAAGTCCCACGGATGGCCGTAGCTCTTAAGAGTCTAACCCCAGCCAATGGAGATGCCAGTGCAGTGTTTCGAGACGCAACAGGTAAAAGGGATTAGCAGGGCAGGGGGAGTCTGGTTTGTAGTAGTCTTTTGAGTAAACCATAATAGAACAGAACTTTAATAGGCCTGGATTGTTTCTTGGATACACAGAATATAACTGAATACTAACATTTATAGGGAACGTTGATCCAGGGAATATCCAATTGCCTCTCGCGGGGATCAGGAAGGAATTTTTTTTCCCTGCAGGAGCAAATTGGGTCATGCTTTACTGGGTTTTTTTGCCTTCTTTTGAATCAACTGTGGGTGTAGGATTATAACTTTTTTTTTTTTTAATGGTTGAACTGGATGGACTTTTGTCTTTTTCAGCCAGACTAACTATGTAAGAATCAACTTTAATAGAATAGTTTTTTGTGAGCCACCCGGAGTTAACTTACTCTATTATTATGTTAATAGTGTGCTTAAGTGAATATTTATTAAATATTAGATCGCTAGGCACTAATTACACCCTCTCTAGGTGTATAAATATAAACTATCACACAATCAAAAAAGGTCAATCACAAAGGTTGATAATATTGGAGCGCGGTACAGTACAAGAATTCATAGTTTATGTAAGAATCAACATTATGCTTACTAAAATTAATTATTGCCCTGGCCATATTTTTTTTATTTTTTTTTAAGTAGGGAAGATTTGGATTTTTAAATTTAGACACAACAGGTAATCAGCAAACGGGTCCCAAAGATGAGAGGTTTTCCACCTTTGACAGTTGTCACCAGAATGGTGTCCCCACCAGGTGATATCACCACTGTTCCTGTTTGACACCAGTCCTTTCTGTCCAGTCACCAGGACAAATAGAGTGAATCTCCCCATCACACAGCAACAAAAAAACATGACAGAAGTTCTAACCAAAATTAAAAAAATGTTTTGGGAGGTCTATTTTAATCAACAACCATGAAATACTTTTTTTTTTTTTTATTACCAAATTTGACCCTTTCACACCTCACGCATGGATACTTTTTGCTTCTCTTAACACATGAAAAATCCCACCTGCGGAGTACGCCCATCCATGCATTGTGGTGCATCAAGGTGCAGGTGTGCTTTTTTGTAATTGTATGTATGCACTGTGGTGCCATTGATAATGAGGGACACTGTACCACAGCCCAGAGGCCCAGGCATGTGTATTACCTATGTTACCGCACACGCAAGTGTAAATTCAGCTTTAATATTTTTTTCCTAAGGAGAAATCCAGGGGACAGTCCATCATCTCTTATTGGAGGAGAGGGAGAGCGAGCTGAAGGCTGGTAGCGTCCTCCTGCTGCAGCAGGTACTGAGATACAGTCGCTCCACTGATATGTTTGTAGTGTACTTATATCCTCCTACACATGGTCATCAGCTTGTAAAAAAAAAAAAGAGGAGCGGGTATAGCAATCTAGTCCTCCAGCAAGCTTCAAGCAGCATGCCTGATGCCACAAAAAGAACCCTTGGGGTCGTGTGACACTGCCAGTCCTGTCATTGGTGGGAGTTCGTCATGGAATCACATCAGGGGACTTAGCAGGGAGTGAAATCACTTGCATGTGTTACTCCCTTACTGCCTGGAGGAGGGAGGTTGTGCTCTCACCATTGACAGTTTGTTATTCTGGAAGATAGTCTTACTTCATGGCTGCTTAAAGTGTTACTAAACTCAGGACCCTGCATTCACTATATCTGGTCTCCCCGGACCCTGCATTCACTATATCTGGTCTCCCCGGACCCTGCATTCACTATATCTGGTCTCCCCGGACCCTGCATTCACTATATCTGGTCTCCCCGGACCCTGCATTCACTATATCTGGTCTCCCCGGACCCTGCATTCACTATATCTGGTCTCCCCGGACCCTGCATTCACTATATCTGGTCTCCCCGGACCCTGCATTCACTATATCTGGTCTCCCCGGACCCTGCATTCACTATATCTGGTCTCCCCGGACCCTGCATTCACTATATCTGGTCTCCCCGGACCTTGCATTCACTATATCCGGTCTCCCCGGACCCTGCATTCACTATATCCGGTCTCCCCGGACCCTGCATTCACTATATCTGGTCTCCCCGGACCCTGCATTCACTATATCTGGTCTCCCTGGACCCTGCATTCACTATATCTGGTCTCCCCCGGACCCTGCATTCACTATATCTGGTCTCCCCGGACCCTGCATTCACTATATCTGGTCTCCCTGGACCCTGCATTCACTATATCTGGTCTCCCCGGACCCTGCATTCACTATATCTGGTCTCCCCGGACCCTGCATTCACTATATCTGGTCTCCCCGGACCCTGCATTCACTATATCTGGTCTCCCCGGACCCTGCATTCACTATATCCGGTCTCCCCGGACCCTGCATTCACTATATCCGGTCTCCCCGGACCCTGCATTCACTATATCCGGTCTCCCCGGACCCTGCATTCACTATATCCGGTCTCCCCGGACCCTGCATTCACTATATCCGGTCTCCCCGGACCCTGCATTCACTATATCCGGTCTCCCCGGACCCTGCATTCACTATATCCGGTCTCCCCGGACCCTGCATTCACTATATCCGGTCTCCCCGCTCCCTGCATCCACTATATCTGCTCTCCTTGGACCCTGCATTCTCAATATCCGGTCTCCCACAATACATACGACATGGAAATGCACTTTTTTTAGTAAATATAAACTGCTAAATCCCTTTTCTCATCAGCAGTAGAGCAGTTTTGTGACTTCTATCAGTGTCCAACAGAACACTGGTTAAATCTTGTAGGAGTTTTCATTCTCCCCTGATTGTCCTATGAGGCTGCAGGACCCCTGACCTTCTGCTAGGACAGTGCTGATTGGCCCTGTGCTGATCACATGCACACTCCCAAGAAAAAAAAAACCCTCTCTAGCAATACACACCAAACTGAGCATGTGCAGCTTGCCCCCAAAGCTCTATTCTATCAGCAGATGGATTGGGGACAGTGGAAGAAGGGGAAGATCAGAGAAGACAGGATTAAACATCTAATTTACACATTGCGGAGAATAACCCCTTAGGTTCCACAGTGACTATAACAAGCACACTTCACTGCATATACAGACTGATTGTACTGTTGTGGGTGTAGTAACACTTTAAGAACAGATAGGGCAAAGTCTTACTTCACTCTGTTGATGTCTCTAAACTATTTGTTTTCCCTTCACAGGTTGGAGTGTTCTCACCATCTCATCGCAATCATTATCTCAATGTGACACCAAGTAACTTGGTGAAAATCTATCCACCAGCAGAAGGAAATGAAAGTTCTCGGGTAAGAATTTTAGGAAGATTTATTTATTAAAAAACTAAACATGCACACAAGGGACACGTCTAAACCGATCTGTTGGCAGAGGTGTTCAACTGTTGGTAACAGTGCATGCTGGATCTGCATGCTCCCTTTTCTTTAAAGTGATATTAAACCTTCCTGTGTTTTTATTATTTTATTTAAAAAAAACAAAACAAAAAACAAGTTATACTCACCTGCTCTGTGCAATGGTTTTGAGCAGCCCCAATCCTCCACCTTTGGGGTCCCCCACCTCTGGCTCCTCCTCTTCTGCAAGTGCCCCCATAGAAAGCCACTTCCTATAGGGGCACTCATGCAGGCTTGCTCCCGAGCCACCCAGCCAATGGCTCCTGCTGCTATCAATCTGCCCTGTGAGCAGGGACAGGGCTGGGGGAGACACTGCTCTTATGCACAGCTCTGTATCGGGTTTGGGCTCAGGTAGGTATAAGGGGGGGTCAGAAAGGTGGGTTTTTTTTTTTACCTATATTCATAGGATGCATTAAGGGAACCACTTTTAAATTCCTTCCTTTTTTATAGGATATCTGTAAATATGATTGCTGCCATTTCTGACTTCTGCAGACCTTCTTTTCTTGGCCTTCTCCAACCTACATACTTTTGAGTCACTGAATAAACACACATAAAGCAAAGTCAGAGGAAAGTCGGAAGCCCAGTTGTTCTAAGTCAGTTACTCAAAGTATTAAAGTCTTTGTATCAGCAGGGCAGCCAGTAAGAGGTCATCAATAGCACTTTTTCAGGTTTCCCTTACAGAAAATGCTCATTTTGTTGATTATTCTATATAGAAATATGGGGAGGCTACCCTTCCATGGCTTTGTTTTACCGTATTTTTCGCTCCATAAGACACACCTGACCAAAAGATGCACCTAGGTTTTAGAGGAGGAAAACTGGAAAAAAAATATTCTGAACCAATGGACTGCAGACATAGTACAGGAGATGATCAGGGACCGCGGACACGGTACAGGAGATGACCAGGGACCGCGGATACGGTACAGGGGATGACCAGGGACCGCGGATACGGTACAGGGGATGACCAGGGACCGCGGACACGGTACAGGTGAAGATCAGAGACTGCGGACACGGTACAGGAGATGACCAGGACTGCGGACACGGTACAGGAGATGACCAGGGACTGCGGACACGGTACAGGAGATGACCAGAGACTGCGGACACGGTACAGGAGATGACCAGAGACTGTGTAAACGGTACAGGAGATGACCAGAGACTGCGGACACGGTACAGGAGATGACCAGGGACTGTGTAAACGGTACAGGAGATGACCAGAGACTGCGGACACGGTAGAGGAGATGACCAGAGACTGCGGACACGGTACAGGAGATGACCAGAGACTGCGGACACGGTACAGGAGATGACCAGAGACTGCGGACACGGTACAGGAGATGACCAAAGACTGCAGACCTTTGGGGAGCGGAAGGGGGGGAGCGGGTACCCGAATTTGACAGATACCTGCTCCCACTTCCGCGGAGTTGTCCTCCCTCCCCATAGTCTTCTGGGACACGTGACAGGTCCCAGAAGACTGCCGGACCATTCACAAAGCGCAGCGCTTCTCGCACATGCGCAGTGGGCACCCGGCTGTGAAGCTGCAAGCTGTCACAGCGGGGTGCCCACACTAAAAATGCCAGAGCCGTGGAGAGAAGACGGTGAGGACATCGCTGGACCGAGGAACAGGTAGGACTGAGGAGTAGGTTCTGCTACACAAAAGAGCTGAGCGGCCAGCCCAGTATTCTAACACGGTGGTGGCGAGAATACCGGGCTGGTCGCTTCATATTCGCTCCATAAGACGCAAAGACATTTTCCCCCATTTTTTTTTGGGTGGGGGGGAGTGCGTCTTATGGAGCAAAAAATACTGTACATAGACTGCAACCTGTAGCATTACCTAGTGTTAAAAAATTGAATCAGAATGGGGTTTCTGTGTTGATTGGGAGTGGTCTTTGAGAGGTTAGAACCCTCCATGGTAATATGTGAAGTTGGCCCCAACTGGGTTCTGGAAAGCCTTACTTAAATGACTTGTCCTTTCGCAAAGTCGGCGTGAGAACTGTTTGTAAAACTGCATTTCAGTGATATTCCTGAAAGGTACTCTTCAGTCAAAATTGAAAATTAAATTATGGCCAAAGAACCAAGTTTTGGAGGGATCCTGACATTATTGACGGAATCCAGCCAGGTTACCAGATTAACAGGTGGTTGCGCCTTTCAATGCGAATCTGAGAGCGGGAGATAGCCTAGCCTGCTACCTCCACCTCTCCAGCCCTGTGCTCCTTTAAGTGCTAGAGGAGCACAGTGGAGAGCAGTGACTAATAGTCACTACTCTCTGCTTGGAGCAGACCAAGAGCTGAGCAAACAGCAGCCATGTTCTCAGTCTTGGAGGCGGTGTGGAACAGCTGCATCCCAACACATGCTTTAGTATGGAAATCAGTATGAAGGTGTTTTTTTTTTTCTGTATGTGTCCTATATTTCTTCTTTAACCTCCCTGGTGGTATTCCTGAGTGTCGCTCGGGGTAAAGTTTCAGCACCAGAAGCGGTAACACCCACCCACCCCCCCCCCCCCCCCGAGATGCACTCGGGAATACCTTGCAGCATTGCTCCGGGATCTCTTCTTCACTTACCTTGTCTTTCGCTCCCGCGATGTCCCTCCTGCAGTGTCCCCGGCCATCTCCTCCGGCTGATGCCAGCATCCATCTTTCGGGTTCCGTTCCCGGCAACGTCGGGACGTACTGGAGACAGAACCGGCAGGAAATTTAAAAATTTTAAAAAGTGACATTCACTCAATACACTAAAATCACATAGTATAACATTCCTGTATCAAACCATTTCACATACATTTTGTCCCGAGTGCTTTGTCCGGCGCCCTGCCTGCATTTTTACTGTTCTTTCTGCCTGGAAACTGAGAAACGTCCATGGCGTCCAAAAAGCGTCCCTTTAGGTCAAAAGCGGTTTTAGACCGGCTAGAGAACAGCGATAGTAAATCAGAACCACTTGCAGAATTGAGTGATAATGATTCGTGGGGGAAATTCCTCATCAGACACTGAAAATGATTTTGTGAATTTGCTCAGTGATGTGCGATCTTGGCGCTATATTTAAAATTTCAGTGTTTTTGGTTTGATTATATTATTGAATTAAATTTATTATTATATTATTATTTTTTTATGATTATTTATTAATTATAATTTATGATTTCAAATTTTATCCTACCCGGGATGTTTACTAGACTCTTGTTCGGTCAGATTTCAGTGAGTTATTCCTAAAAATTACAGGCCTACAATAAAAAAACGACACATTTCCATGCAAAAAAATGTACCGCTTTGAGCACAGAAATACTGACATAATAAGACCGCTAGGGAGGTTAAAGCAGTGTGTGACAATGTTGGCTGCAATGAATGCATAAACTGAGTGAACAGTCTGATTTCAGCAGTTGTAATGTTTGCTCGATTGAATTAGTAGCTCACTGATTGGTTTCACTTTTTTTCTGGAATTGTTCTTTTAATTGCAATAAAATTCTTTATTTCCTATTCCAATACAGGTGTCTGTGGAACTAATGGCAGAGAAGGAGGTGGATGTGAACAGCAACGACACCCAATCACAGCAGTGTTCTTTCTCCAGCAGAACTTTAGAACAAACACCTTTCCTGTCCTCCGGCACAATCCAGCCTGACTTTAATCATCCAGCTGCATCTCCCTTCCTGACCAGTACAGCACTTTCCAGAGCCCACCAGCCGTCACCCAGCAAAACAGAATCAAAAGCTCCCCAGCCGGCAGTATTTTCTGCATCTTACAGCTCAGCACAACCCAAAGCCCCAGGTCCAGCAGCCCTTCACCAGCCTTCATACAGGATACAGACAAAAGCGTCAACTTTGGACTTCAGCACAGCGCAGCCCGGGACCTCTCTGGCTACAGACCATGCAGACTGGGACATGGGTGAGTAGTGTTTATTTTTTTGCGCTATAAACAAAAATAGACCGACAATTTTGAAAACAACACAATATTTTTGACTTTTTGCTATTAAACATGTCCATTAAAAAAATCAAATTTTGTCATCAGGGGCGGACTGACAACTCATGGGGCACCCGGGCGATAGGGGATCATGGGGCCCCTTTGTCCTTACACAAACTCAAAAAAGCCTATGAAAAAGATACCAGGGGCATCTCTTGGGGCCCCCTACTGACCCTGGGCCCCGAGCAGTGCAGTGCCCGAGTTTCCAAATGGTCAGTCCGCCCCTGTTTGTCATACATTTAGGCCAAAATGTATTCTGTGACATGTGTTTGCTAAAAAAAAAAAAATCCCAATACGTGTAAATTAATTAGTTTACTTGAAAGTTAGTGTCTATAAATGGCAGTAAATATACTGGAATTTTCATTTATTTTTTTTTATACTAGTAATGGCGGCTATCAGCGAATTATAGCGGGACTGCGGCGGATATTCTGACACTGGCGGGGGAACTGACTGTCACTGACATCCGCAGTGACACTAATACAGTGATCAGTGCTAATAAAAAGCACTGACACTGTACTAATGACACTGGGCAGGAAGGGGTTAACATCTGGGGGCGATCAAAGGGTTAACTGTGTTTTTCTGTATGCTGTGCTTTACTGTGTAAGCACGCTGCTTTGTATTGCTCTGCTATTCTATGCAGAGCAATACAAAGCAGAATGCTGGAGCTGACAGAGGAGAGATCTATATTGTTTGCATACAGACCTCTGTCATGTCAGTGAAACTCGGCGATCACCGGGTGCCAGTGGGGGAAGCACCAGTTGGGACCCGGTGATCGACAGCCGAAGCCTCCGAAGGCGGCGCAGGTAGGGCGCATGCACCACCTACCTGGAAATACAAAATCATTTATATATATATGTGTGATTTTGCGTAACCCTCCCGCCCTGTAGCAGTAGATCTGCTATAGAGCGGTCAGGAAGCGGTTAATTGTGTTTTCCATAAGTGCAGCTAGATATAGAGATCTATTTATGAGAAGTAATTTCGTCTGGCAACATCAGGATTTTCCATTATTCAAAGGAAAATCTAGATATCAGTTGCATGCACAGAATCTATGACGATATACAGACTGATCCTCCACTGGCATACATAGTTATGTGCAGGGGCGGACTGACCATTTGGAAACTCAGGCACTGCCCGAGGGCCCGGGGTCAGTAGGGGGCCCCATGAGATGCCCCTGGTACCTTTTTCATTAGGCTTTTTTGAGTTTGGGCAAGGACACAGGGGCCCCATGATCCCCTATTGCCCGGGGGCCCCATGAGTTGTCAGTCCGCCCCTGGTTATGTGATGATTGTTCAGCAGTCTGATCTCCAGGCCTCAGTCTCGGGTATAAGCACAATCTAAAACTCAAGTTTTCTTTATATTTTGTCCCTTTTTTCTTGCAGATGATTTGGACTCTTTGTTATGTGACCTTCCGGAGGACCCCAGGGAATGACATTTCAGGTTTCTCAATGAAGACTCAAAATCCTAATAGCACACTTTTTTATGTTTACAGCTAGACAGGGAAGCTTCTTGTCTCCAAAAATGAAACAGATGACTCCTGCAATCATTTAACGTGTGGCCATTTCCATAGCTTGGGCTGAACCTTTTGTGTGATGGCAGGTATCTGTAGGTGTCTGCATACCCGCCATGATAATGAGTAGCTTGGCAAATTGTCCCTAGATAACCAAGGGCATGTTAACTCTGATTAGCCTTCCAGTCGCCAGCTCTGGTCTGCCCGCTTCTCACTGAATCTGCTTTGTTATTTGCTCTTCCCTGTGATGGGCAGTCCCACTTACCAATAGTGAAGTAAAGGGGAGTGGGAGGACCACAGCCAGCCAAAAAAAGACAGTTATTGTTGCACATGCCACGCCACTCTTGGGATCTAAGGGCAAGGGCTGGCCTAAAATGCCACGCCACTCTTGGGATCTAAGGGCAAGGGCTGACCTAAAAGACACCAGGTCCGACGCACGGGTACCTCCAGGTGCTTGGCATTTAACATAGGTGCTAACTTAAAGCGGAGTTCCACTCATCCTGTCAAAAAATAAACGTCAGCATCTACAAAAACTGTAGCTGCTGACTTTTAAAAAACAGCCACTTACCTGTCCCTTGGTCCCGTGGTGTGTCTTCCGCAGCCCGTTTCACCGGCCGTCCTGTATTCCAGGAGGCCGGCATCTTCAGTGTGGGCATCCGGCTGTGATAGCTTACGGCTTCACAGCCGGGTGCCCACTGCGCATGCGCGAGTAGCGCTGCGCTTCATGAATGGTCCTGTAGTCTTCTGTGACCTGTCACGTGTCCAGAGAAGACTACGGGGAGGGAAGGAGGGAGGACACCTTCCGTTTCCGTTCGCCTAGGCGGTCCGACTGCAATTGGGAGCCGGTACCTGTCAAATTCGGGTACCCGCCCCCCAAAGGTGCCAATCCTTAATGGGGAGCGGGGAAGCAGTCCTTAAACCTCAACTTCCCCTTTTGGGTGGAGCTCCGCTTTAAGTCACTGGCCATAAAGAGGGGAAGTGATTCTTTTAAAGCCCAGCTAAAGTTTTTGTTTTAATCAGCTAAATACTTTACATTCCAAGTGCATCAAAACAAAAGGGATGCAAAGTTTTACACTTTTGTGTTCTGGGACACGTTTAGCTGATTCAAACTAAAAGTTCAATTGGGCCTTTAGTCTTCTGTGATGCACTGGCTGAAGGTATGGGTTTATGTCACAAGATTTCAAGTCCGGGATTGGATAAACCTCTTATGTTTTTTGGGAAATCTTGGAAGCTGTACACCACTCTGAGTTCTACAAGTCGTTACTGTTGACTTAGTGGAAGATATCCATCATGGGACCACTAAACATGTAAAGAAACGTGTGCCTTATAAGTGCAAAACTTTATCCTAGTTAAGAAAGAAGATTGCTTTAGAATAATAAAGTAATCCGGTTTGTTTGTGCAGAACTGCAGTTTGAATTGTTATGTTTTTTTCTTAATTTGTCTTTTTAGATCTCAGCTAAGCACTTTACCAAATGTAATTCAAATACAATTCCAGAGAAATGGTCCTTCCTATATAACTGGTTCCCCGCCGCCCTATAGCAGAACTACTGCTACAGGGCGGCAGGGCTGCGCAAAATCACGTGTATATATACACGATTTTGCATTTCCGTGCTGCCATTGGTGGCTACGGATGTCAATCACTGTCACCCGGCGATCGCCGAGGAACAGTGGAAACACAGATTTCTCCCTTGTCAGCACCGACATGCTGCTTTGTATTGCTCTGCATACTGTCTGATGTGTGTCGATTGAACCCTTTGCTCACCCAGATGTTAACTCCATAGCAGAGCAATACAAATCAGTATGTTTCCCTAGTAAAATACACAGCACATACTGTAAAACAGCACACAGTCAACCCTTTGCTCACTGTAGTAGAGAACAAAAGAAAAGAGCGCACCAACCTTGCGCATTACCTCAGTAAACAGTTCATGTATTTATTAATAAATTATACTCACAAGAGTAGCCGTAAAAAAGGCATATAACATCCAGGGGCAGACTGAAAAATCATGGGGCCCCCAGGCAATAGAAGATCATGGGGCCCCTGTGACCTTGTGCAAACTCAAAAAAGCCTATGAAAAAGGTACCAGGGGCATCTCATGGGGCCCCCTACTGACTTCGGGCCCTCGGGCAGTGCCCAGTTTCCCAAATGGTCAGTCCGCTCCTGATAACATCCATAGCCAACATGGGGGTTAAAAGATATGTGCGAGTTCCATCCGGAAGGGAGATAAACTCTTGGTCAAGCTGACGCGTTTCGAAGGGGGATCCCTTCTTCCTCCAGAGCTAGGAGGTCTACAATGAGCACCTGGATTACTGATAGAAATATTCTATTTAGACTCAGTTCCTATTCATAGGAGGCATTCTGCCATATGGGGTTTATTTACTAAAGCTGGAGAGTCCAAAATCAGACTCCCTTCTACATAGAAACCAATCAGCTTCCAGGTTTCATTGCCAAAGCTTCATTGAACAAGCTGAGGTTAGAAGCTGATTGGTTTCTATGCAGAAGGGAGTCTGATTTTGGACTCTCCAGCTTTAGTAAATAAACCCCAGTGTGTCAGTTTAGTAAATGTGATGTGTCGATTGAACCCTTTGCTCACCCCCAGATGTTAACCCCTTCCTGCCCAGTGTCATTAGTACAGTGTCAGTGCTTTTTATTAGCACTGATCACTGTATTCGTGTCATTAGGGATGTCAGTGGCAGTTAGTCATTCCCCCCCCCCATGGTGTCAGAATGCCCGCCGCAGTTCTGCTAAAAGTCGCTGATCTCCGCCATTACTAGTATTAAAAAATTTTAAAATTCCATTATATATACCGCCTTTTGTAAATGCTATAACTTTCACGTAAACCAATTAAAATACACATTTTGGGATAAAGAAAGATGTCGCAGAATACATTTTGTCCTAAATTTATGACAAAATTTAATTTTTTTTTTTTTTTTTTTTTTTAATTTTTTAACTGGATATGTTTAAAAGCAAAAAGTCAAAAATATTGTTTTGTTTTCAAAATTGTTGGTCTTTTTTTGTTTATAGCACAAAAAATAAAAAACGCACAGGTGATCAAATACCACCGAAAGACAGCTCTATTTGTGGGAAAAAAGGACTTACATTTCATTTGGGTGCAGAGTTGCATGACTGCGCAATTGTCAGTTAAAGTAATGCAGCACCGTATCGCAAAAAATGGCCTGGTCAGGAAGGGGGGAAATCCTCTGAAGGGCAAGTGGATTAAAAAAAAGGGCAAACAGGAGGCGCAAACCCCTAGTGCATTATCCAAGGTTTATTAAAGGTAAAGAGGATGAAAACATACAAACATGATGGCACCGGAGGAAAGGGACTCGTCCCCGAAACGCGTCAGGAGCCGACCATACTGACAGTCGGACACCCGCCTCTGTTATGGCCATCTGTATCGTTCTACTGAGCTTTACATTTATGCCATGTTTGAGTATGTTTTCGTCCTCTTTACTTTAATAAACCTTGGATAATGCACTAGGGGTGTGCTCAGGGGCGACTGACCATTTGAAAACTCGGCAGGGCCCGGGGTCAGTAGAGGGCCCCATGAGATGCCCCTGGTACCTTTTTCATAGGCTTTTTTGAGTTTGGGCAAGGACACAGGGGCCCCATGATCCCCTATTGCCCGGGGGCCCCATGAGTTGTCAGTCCGCTCATGGGTGTGCTCCTCCTGTTTGCTCTTTTTTCAGTTGTTGATTTCCCTATCTGAGGAGGGCAGCATCTCCGAAAGGCTATCCATAGGCGCTTTTGGTCCTGGTTCCCTTGGCCTTCCTTTGGCATTTGATCCCTGGAGTGCTGGAAGTTTATTCTGTTATCCAAGTAGATAAAAACACTTCTGCTTCTTAAATAAAGAATGCAAGGAGCAAATCACTACATGAAAAGGGCAGTGGCTCATAGCAGCCAATCAGAATTCACTTTATTGATGTTTCATAACAAATGTTTTCAATAAGCCTGTTATGCAGGCCATAGACTGGTCGTTTATCAGCCGAATTTTCGTCCGCACGAAAAATCGGCCGATATTCACGCCGTTAGTGGGGCCAGCCCGTCGGCCTTTTTTTGCGGATCATTTCATTTATTTTTATCGGTCATGCTGGAAAACACACAAAAAATGACATTGGTGGCAGCATCAGCAACGGCACCGACCGATTTTTCGTTTATTGGCTGACAATTTGACCAATAAACGGCCCATCTATGGCTATGGCCTGCCTTACTGGTCTTAGGAACTTCATAAATGGCAGTATCCGCATACATTCATTTCAGGTGCAAAGATCAAGGCAACCTGACACCAATAGAGTCAATAGAAAGTGTTGGCTTTGTCCATTTGGTCTTTCTAGTAATCAAATGCTAATTGGACGAGGCTGAAATCCCCTGAAGCCGGCATTTGTGTTTAGCATAACAATTAGAGAGAAAAATGTAACAAAACAGGAGGCATTCCTATCCCCCAGCATGTTGTAACTGTCATAGATGGGACCACCATACACTGAATCCCCCTAAAGTAATACATTCCAGTTCTGAAATCAGATGAAATGCTCTAGAAGTGCCGGGTCATACCGGTGCGATTTGTGAATTGAAATTGCACCTGAAATCGCATCTAATGAAGGTCACTGTCTCTTAACCTGTGTGATTTGCTGCAGCGTGATTTCTAAAGTAATTCTTGCATTACTTTTTCTGCAGTTTATTGCGATTTCACATACACAGCACAGTGGATAAATGGTTAGCACTTCCGCCTGGCAGTAATAGGGTCATTGGTTTGAATCCCAACCACAGCACCACCTGCCTGGAGTTTGCATGTTTTCCCTGTGCCTGCATGGGTTTCCTCCCACACTCCAAAGACATGCTGGTAGGTGAATTGGCTCTTGTCTAAATTGGCCCTAGTATGTGTGAATGTGAGTTAGGGACCTTAGATTGTACACCCCTTGAGGGTTAGGGACTGATGTGAATGTACAATATATATGTAAAGTGCTGCGTAAATTGATGGCGCTACATAAGTACCTGAAATACATAAATAAAAGCAATCATTTCTCCTTCTCTCTGGCTGCATTCCTGCAGCCATTGAGAACATGCAAACTTCAGGCAGGTGGTGCCGTGGTTGGAATTCGAACCAACGACTCTAGTACTGCCAGGCGGAAGTGCTAACCATTTAGCCACTGTGCTGCCCTACAGCCTTTATGGGTGTAAAAGGAAATCAGTGTAAAAAAAAAAAAAATCTTCATCACCCCCCACAAGTAGTACAGTGTCACCATGGTGACACACACTGTACTGCTAGGGTGACAGTATGTAAAAAAAAAACATAATATAAAAATTTAAAAAAAAGTTTAAAAATTATAATTTTTGGTTATAAACTAATTTGGGTTATTTTTTTGTTACTAAAAAGATAACGGAATAAATTTTGGCCAAGATTTATGATGAAATATTATTTATTTGCTAAATTTTATAAGAAACACTTTTCACATTTTTGGACTTTTTCATTTACATAGCAAGAAAAATAAAAATCCCAGCGGTGAATAAATATCACCAAAATAAAGCTTTATCTGTCTCAAAAAAATGCTAAAAAAATTCATATGGGTACAGTGTTACATGACCGCGCAATTGTCATTCAAAGTGTGATAGCGCTGAAAGCTGAAAATTGACCTGGACAGGAAGGGGGTAAAAGTGAAAGACTTGTGTTGATCTGGTGTGTTTTCTCCGTGTACACGGTATTTAGGAAACCTTTGTCCGTGTGTCGATTTGGACATTAACAGATGTAAAAAGATGTTCATCCGTTTACATCCGCAAGTCCATAGAAATACACGGGGGTCCATTTTTCTTCTGTAAACAAACAGATGATAAACGGATATACGGAACGCCTGTGTGAAAGAGGCATTACTTACAGATTTATTTTTTTTGTTGATCTGGTGTAAGTTTTCTCCGTGTACACGGTATTTAGGAAATCTTTGTCCGTGTGTACATTTGATTCCAATCAATATTGGTGTGATAATAGTAGTCGATCAGTGTGTGTGTGATGTCCCAATGAGAGCCATGGTAGGGACAGGCCACCCCATAATTATATCCAGGAAAATGACACTGCAGAAATATGTTTACCATGTGGAGCAGCAGAGCCTTTCGGTTATAAATAGGACTGAGCAGCTCTCTTTCAGGGAGTGCAATGAGGCTACAGCGAGGTGAAGCTAACCTAGTGCAATGTCCAGGGACACCTTCCCCTTCACTACGTCCACTCTACGTTCCCTTCAATGGCAGAGAGAACAGCTGGAGTACGAGGACCGCAGGAGGGCGGTGAGCAGGCAGTGTCTCACCCGCAGGTTACAGACCGACAGAAGCACTTTTCACCCCCCGGCTAGCCAGCGGCGCCAGTACTGCCGGGATGCCGCCATCCACAATGCCCTGTACACCGGTGACATCCAAGGGATTAAGGTCATATTCAAAGAACAGGACTCGGCAGAAGTCGTGGTGGAGACATCAGCGAGGAGCTGCAGTGGTCCCCAGATATAGGTGAGGTGGTCTATGTGATATTTGTGATTGAAATCAAAAGAGGGTTGTCCTAGGACGGGGGTGGGCAAACTGCGGCTCTCCAGCTGTTGCAGGACTACAAGTTCCATCATGGCTCTGCAAGTCATAGGAGTTATGCTTGTAACTTCCGGTCTTTGCAATGCCCCATGGGAAATGTAGTTCCACAACAGCTGGAGAACCGCAGTTTGCCCACACCTGTCCTAGGAGAAGATTCACCTCCCCAAAGAACTGGCCACCAACATTTCAACCTGATTGTGCCATCATAACTATATAGTCTTGTTTAGATGTACTAACAGCCATGAAGTGTAATGGCCTACTTGACTAGGTTTAAATTGAAGGTCCGTACACTTCAGGCATTGATCAATCTAAAGCAGATTGGACAATTAGATTGTAAATTGTACTGGGCAGCACAGTGGCTAAATAGTTGGCCCTTCCACCTGGCAGTACTCAGGTCGTTGGTTCGAATCCCAGCCATGGCAGCACCTGCAGGGAGTTTGCATGTTCTCCCTGTGCCTGTGTGGGTTTCCTCCCACACTCCAAAGACATGCTGGTAGGTTAATTGGCTCCTGTCTAAATTGGCCCTAGTATGTGTATGTATGGATGTAAGTTAAGGATCTTAGATTGTACAAACCCTTGAGGGTTAGGGACTGATATGAATGTACAATATATGTATACAGCGCTGAGTAAATTGATGGCGTTATATAAGTACAATGCAAACTCCTGACGCCTGTATTCTTACACAATCTGCTTCTGCTCCCTGTGCTCTGTATGTTACATACTCCTAAAATCTGCATTCTGTACCTTCCCTACTTCTGACCCCAGCACTCTTTGCATTATATAATCCTGACACCTGCATTCTATACATTATACACTTCTGACACCTACATTCTGTACATTACCTACTTCTGTCTCCTGCACGCTGCATATTATATACTCCTGACACCTGCATTGTATACATTATACACTTCTGACACCTACAGTCTGTACACTACCTACTTCTGTCTCCTGCACGCTGCATATTATATACTCCTGACACCTGCATTCTGTACATTACCTACTTCTGACTTCTGCACTCTGTACATTATATACTCCTGACACCTACATTCTGTACATTATACACTTCTGTCTCCTGCACTCTGTACATTATATACTCCTGACACCTGCATTCTGTACATTACCTACTTCTGACTCCTGCACTCTGTACATTACCTACTTCTGACTCCTGCACTCTGGACATTATATAATCCTGACACCTGCATTCTGTACATTACATAATTCTGACACCTGCATTCTGTACATTACATAATTCTGACACCTGCATTCTGTACATTACCTACTTCTGACTCCTGCAGTCTGTACATTACATACTCCTGACACCTGCACTCTGTACATTACATACTCCTGACACCTGCACTCTGTACATTACATACTCCTGACACCTGCACTCTGTACATTATATACTCCTGACACCTGCACTCTGTACATTATACACTTCTGACTACAGCACTCTGTACATTACATAATCTTGACACCTGCATTCTGTACATTACATAATTCTGACACCTGCATTCTGTACATTATACACTTCTGTCTCCTGCACTCTGTACATTATATGCTCCTGACACCTGCATTCTGTACATTACCTACTTCTGACTCCTGCACTCTGTACATTACATACTCCTGACACCTGCACTCTGTACATTACATACTCCTGACACCTGCACTCTGTACATTACATACTCCTGACACCTGCACTCTGTACATTACATACTCCTGACACCTGCACTCTGTACATTACATACTCCTGACACCTGCACTCTGTACATTACATACTCCTGACACCTGCACTCTGTACATTATATACTCCTGACACCTGCACTCTGTACATTATATACTCCTGACACCTGCATTCTGTACATTATATACTCCTGCATTCTGTACATTATATACTCCCTGACACCTGCATTCTGTACATTACATATTCCTGACACCTGCACTCTGTACATTACATACTCCTGACCCCTGCATTCTGTACATTACATACTCCTGACACCCTGCATTCTGTACATTATACACTCCTGACCCCTGCATTCTGTACATTATACACTCCTGACCCCTGCATTCTGTACATTATACACTCCTGACCCCTGCATTCTGTACATTATACACTCCTGACCCCTGCATTCTGTACATTACCTACTTCTGACTCCTGTGCACTGTATGTAGGCTCACGCTCTATGCCCCTCCCATTGTTATTGCAATTTGGAATAAATGACAATTATGACACAACTGAATTCTTATATCTCCTTGTTTGTTTGTATTTGTCAGGTCTCTTCTCCTTAACACCTAAAAAGTCTCACACCACCCCACTGCGTATCACTGCCGCTCGGGGATATTCAGAGTGTGTGCGCCACTTGATATGCCACGGTGCCAACCCCAACTCTACCATAGGGGGAAGGGGAGCGCTGCACGACGCCTGCGAGGGAGCACACGCTGACTGTACCCAGCTGCTCCTAAGCCGTGGAGCAGACCCCAATTTACAGAGTGAAGATGGCCAGGCACCCCTCCACTTCTGTACCACAAAGGACACTCTGGAGTGAGTATATTGTGTAGAATAGTGGCCATCATCTGTGGATCAAAAACTGCCCATTTTACCAGTAAAGGAATGCCACGTTTGTTGTTGCATGTGAAGTTCGGACACCTTGGCTCCCGCAATAAAATGTATATTCATCTCCGTGCATGTGTGTTTAGGCAGTACATGTGCACAGGAGCCACGGGATCCGGTATAACATGGAGAATGTAGTCCCCAACAAAGATTATCTCTAATTTACTCCGTTTTGGTCATGTTGGATGTACCATTGGAAGGGTTTTTAAATCTGTTGATCTTGACAAAAAGTAAAGATAAATAATGGGGCTGATATAAATGTTTAATTAATGAACCTGGGCAATTATCGTAATTTTAATTATAGTATTCTCCACACATTTAAAGTCTTTTTGTTTGTTTAAAGGGTCTCAACGATGGTCCCTGTTTTAACAATATTTTCTGTTTTAGGTGTGCAAAGCAGCTGCTGGAATATGGCGGTATTGTGAACCTTCCCTGCCATTACACCCGTGCTACGCCACTGCACGTGGCAGCCACCCGTGGTCTGGAAGCCCATGTAGCGTTGTACTTAAGCCTTGGTGCTGACCCTTGTGCCCTCAACCGTGAGGGTGAGACACCCGTTAACGCAGCCTGTGCGGCCGGCGACTCCCCGCAGCACTTTGGGCGATACCTGAGGGCTGTAGAGATGTTACTGAAGGCAGGGGGTTCTCCTGGCACTCCTGGGAAGAAGGGCCACGGGCCTCTGCACAATGCCAGCTCCAACTGCCATCTCAGGCTGGTGAAAATGTTGCTCGACCATGGGGCATCTGTCAATGTGACCAACAGCGCTGGGTACACCCCACTGGATTGTGCGCTGCAAGTGTGCACTGATTACCCTGAGTGTCAGCCCCATCAGCTGATACAGACATTATTCAACCATGGCTCAGAGTCCCCTAGTGTCAAGGTGAGTCTGGGTCACGTGTCTCTCCTGTTTGAGCTATGGCTTAAAGGGATCAGTATGGGGCAGGAGCGGACTGACCATTTAGGCTCTCGGGCAGTGTCTGGGGTCAGTAGGGGGCCCCATGAGATGCACCTGGTACCTTTTATAGGCTTTTTTGGGTGTGGTTTGAGTGTGGGCGGGGACACGGGCCCCATGATTTCCTATTGCCCGGGGGCCGCTTGAGTTGTCAGTCCGCCCCTGGTATGGGGTAATTCTAATGAGCCCATCGTTTGAGTTATTTTGCTTTGTCTGCTTTTCAGGCTAGATCTGGCTGCAATATCTACCCTCAGTCCTGTCCCACAAGATGCCCTTAGTCTTTCAGGTTATATGATGCACAGCATCACTCAGCCCTGAAGACTGAGGACATACAGTGAGTGCCTGGCCTCAGCCCCTGCGGGGGTGTCAGTGTGACCCCTACATTCACAGTAAACTGGTGCAGAGGATGGCTCTGGTAATAAGGGTCGGATGGTCAGACGTGACTAAGTCACTCTAGGTGGGCATCAGGAACAGATCAAAGTTCCACATGGCTTTTGCATGCAAGAGCACAATTATGTATAGTAAGGGTGTGCAAGAGTGAGCACTAATTGGCGAGCTGCTGTATACACCGAAAAGGCACCAAATCAACCTTCTGAGACCAAATGTAAAATATAAGATGCAGCGCTAAAAACGAAAGAATATAATAAAATGCCATCATATAAATGCATAAAAACATAAAACATGAACTAATAATATAGTCGTCAGTCTTCATGTATCAGAAAGAGTGCCACTACTAATGGTATATTGATATAAAGTGACAAAGTGCAGATAAACATCAATAAAGGTGGTTATAGGTGTAACTATAGTGACAAAGTCTTTATATATCAGATAGACGTGAAGTCTCAGGTGAGGGTGATCTTCTACAGATTCTTCTGGTGATAAATAATAAAATCACGCACTCACCAGATGCGCAATAATGTTGCGCATTTGAGAACATGTAATCTCATTAGGTCAGCTGGATCATCCTATGGACCTCTATCCCTGGTAAGGACTCCCCTCTGGGTCATCTGTAGCAATGCCACACCTCACACCTCTTTTGATGATAGGCTCTGTGGGTGGTAGGGCTCAGAGCAAGAGCCCCCAAGAAAGGATGCCAAAATAGTGTGATATTGCTTCCAGATATTTATTGATCCAAACACAGGAGATGAACAGAGTAAAATAACATAGAAACTGACCATGCACTGGAATCAAAGATGGCCGCCAGACTAGCAGGGGCCTTGACGGCGTGACGTCAGGACGCTGCGGCTTCTTCACTGACGCGTTTCGTGCTCTAGCACATAGTCATAGGGGTATGCTTGCATCAATTGGAAGATGGTCACTCAACGACGTATGGGTGGCTTGAGATTGAGACTTCAGCGTTCATACCTGCAAGTGTTTACCTTTTCTGTGGTAGAAACCGGCAAGAAGGGGTAACCTATGTAAATGAGGTAACTCAATGTCCTACTACTCATGGCCTACTCTCAAAAGTGTCTTCAAAGATTGGGCAAGCAATGAAGAAATGCTTCTGGACCTAGAAATCGCTGCACAGCTCATTTTTACCAGAACAGAGTCTGGAAAGTGTCCTATGCAGAACCTAGTACCCAAAAGTCACTTACAGGCATTCTCCACAACATCTAGTCCAGCCTTTCTCAACCTTTTCAATGCAGAGGAACCCTTGACATAACTTTCCGGTCTCAGGGAACCCCTGCTAAAAATGACTTTACTATTCATGATACATTAGTGTGATGTTCAGTGGGAACAATGCTCCTTACACTTGTGGTCATTGGGAAGAATTACCCCCTGACAGATTACAGAAAAGAATCAGTGGGAACTTACCTGAGAGGCTAAATTGCTCAAGGAACCCCAGAGTTCCACGGAACCCTGGTTGAGAAACCCTGATCTAGTCCATTGGTGTCCAGATGCAAAGACTGCGGATGGCCATGCCAGGGAGCTGCAATCCAGGAGACCAGTTCTAGCATTGATGTAGGGAAGAGTCTTAAGCTGACGAAAAGACATCTGTCCTCCTAGGACACTAGTAAAAAGTGGGGTATTATGGTAGTAGTAGGGGTTCTCCTGGGCTGGCATACATTTTTTTTTTTTGGTTTTTCAGTGTCTATAGGCAACAATATAACCCAAAGGTTTCCTCCGTTTTTGTTTTCTTTTGTTGTCAACCAGTCATGGGACCTTGTGCCTAGTCCTATGGTCCTATAATCTGAGTTGAACGGGCTTGGAGACTGACATTTGCACATAGCTGGCCAATCAGCAGCTCTGCCTGAATTCTCATTGATTTTTTATATATATATCTATATATATATATATATATATATATATATATATATATATATATATATATATATATCAGAAAACAAGTTAGCAACATGAACTGACCACTATGCACTCATAGCTAAAATATCAATTTTAGGTGGATTAACCCTTTAAATCTTAAAATTCCCTTACTAACAATGTATCTTTCTAGAAGTATTAAAGACCACGAAAGCCCAATATATGAATATTTTTCTTATGTTTTTAATTTTATGGGTTTTATTAGTTTGAAATAAAATATTAAAGTGAGATTTTCTGTCTCCAGATGTGGAGGTACTGCGCTGCGTCACCCCTGGCCTTTGAGATCGTTCTGAACTCCTACGATCGTATCCCACCAGGTGACGTCTGGGTGGAAGCCGTGCCTACTTCAGTGTGGGAGGTAAGAATTCAGTGCTGTATTTACAGATAGCAATATATAAAGCAGGTCCATCGGTAATCCCTCTTTTCCTCTTTGTGTAGGAACATCAGACTTTATATGAATCCATCTCACGACTTTCAAACCAACCTCGGTGTCTTCAGCACTTGGCCCGCTGTGCCGTGAGAAGTAAATATGGTGGCCTATGTTACAGAGCGATTCCAGATCTTCAATTACCCCCAACGCTCACTGCCTATCTTCTCCTGCAGCCGGAGGGCAGTATCCATTAATTGGTGATCATGAAGAGGTGACGGCACGTTGGTCGATTCAAGGCCGTGTCAGACTACAATTAGCCCAACGACCAATATGCACCAAGATATAGTTCTTTTACAGTATCTTATGCATTAACTGGTCCAATGTATAAATCCACTTAATCAGACCTATAGCCAAAAAGGACCTACTAGGTGACAAGGCAGTATTTTTTAAGCAGATCAAAATTTTAAGTTTAGGTCTGTTTTAGGGGCTTGTTCACACTTGCGATGGGGGGGAGGTAGTAAAACCCTGCAGGTGAGAAGCATTTTTACTGCTCCTCCTCCAGCGATGGGGGGGGGGGTGTATACCTGCTGCGATGCTTTGCATCTGTGGCAGGAAATATGCCTCCTGGGCAGTACCGCCTGCCAAGCGAGACCCAGGCAGACAGCCTGTAGTGGGTGGAGCCTGTTGGGCCCACTCTTTGCGCAGGCTTTGTGTTGAGGCTGTGACTGCTACTTTTATGCAGGCCATAGACGTGTCGAAAATAGGCCGTTTTTTTTTGAAAAAAAAAAAAAGAAAAATCGGTCGTTCAATAGGCTGACATTCCCACCAACGGTAAAAACAATCAGCCGATTTTCGTCCCGTCTACGGCCGGCATTAAATTACTTCTGTCCCTGCAGAGAGCTCCACTATTATATTTGACATGAAAAAGTCTTGCGGTTGCAACAATGTATCTATTTGTATCCATTTCGGACACATGTTTTTATTCGGATACAAATAGATACATTGTTGCAACCGCAAGACTTTTCATATAAATTATAATAGCGGACTAGAATTCTTCTTCTTCTTTTTTCTTCTTTTTTTCTTCTTCTTTTTTCTTTTTTTATTCCTTTTTCCCCTCTTCTTCTTCCTCTTTTTTTCTTTTTCTTCTTTTTTCTTTTTTTTTTTTTCCTTTTTTCTTCTTCTTGCAGGTCACTGCTCATGCGCAGATTTTTTATCGGTAAAACAATCGGCTGATTTGCCCATCATTGCCGGGAAAATCAGGTGATCAGCAAAATTGGCCGATTTTTTTCCAACTTTACCGATAAAAAAAATGTTCCAAAACCCCTAAAAACAGCCAACCAATTAACCCACTAACGGTGCGAAAATTGGCCAATTTTTTTTTTCGGCAGAAAAATTGGCTGATTTTCGACCCATCTATGGCCTGCATTACAATGTAATATCTGTGTCTGCAAAGGTGTTTGGTTTCCAAAAAGTAGAACTGCATGCTTTGTCGCTATTTACATAAAAGCTTTTGCGCCTGTTGTTCAGCTTTAAGCTAACCCAAGCGTCTCCGCGTCCCACCCATCTCGCTATAAAGAGTCAGAGGCGTATCACATGACTTTTCGAACGTGTATAAAATTTTATTTTTTGTTTTTTACCCTGGCCTTGTATTGCATTGTAATGCAGTTCACCTTTTTAGCCAGAAGATGTCCCTCCCTGTTATGCCTATCTATGGAAAACTAAACAGAGCCATGTAGGATGACTAGATATTTAGTTTTTTATATATATATATATATATATATATATATATATAAAAATAAATAAATGATTTTTTTTTTTTATTATACAGGATTTATATAGCGCCAACAGTTTGCTCAGCACTTTACAATATAGCGGGAGACAATCAGCAACAATACAGTTCAATACAAGAGGGATAGGAGGGCCCTGATCCTTGGAGCTTACAATCTAAGAGATATATATATATTTAAAACGTATGTAGTTTGAATTTAAAAATTGTTAAGCAGTCTATGGTGGTAAATAATAATAATAATAAAAAAAGTTCAAAATTTGAGAACTAATTCCAAGTACTGCACATTTGCATTTACAGGAAATTCTGGGCCTCTTCCAGTGGGGGGCAGTAGGGGGTCACAGTGTAGTAAGGACCTTGTATATAAACATGTCTGGATGACTGGAGTGTCAATGGAATTTGCTTGTGCAGGACCTTTACTTTACCTTTACCTTTGGTTGCAAGCCGTCATGCCCCTACAGTATAGGTTGGCGCTACAATGCACTCCAAGGAAACCATAAACACGCCTTTGTGCAGATCAGAGTGTGTAGTTGTCAAAGTCCCGGGTGTCGCCTGCACCTAGAAACGTCTGTCACAACCAAACCTTCACAATTAAACCCTTGCTGCAACTTATGTTCAATTCTGTCATTGAATTTGTGTCTGCCTTGGAGGGATTCTCCTCACTTCCTG